TATATTTATATTTATATTTATATTTACATACTTTATGGAATATATTCACATAAACTTGCCCAGGAAGGTCTTTTGTGACACTCTCTGCAGCCTCAGCCTGGGAAAGATGAGGATGTCCTAGGAAGAAATTTTTTTAAAGCCAACTGCATCCTGGGCTACATCAAAAGGAGCGTGGCCAGCAGGTCAAGGGAGGTGATTCTGCCCCTCTACTCTGCTCTCGTGAGACCCCACCTGGAATACTGTGTTCAGCTCTGGAGTCCCGAGCACAAGAAGGACATGGAGCTGCTGGAGTGGGTCCAGAGGAGGGCCACAAAGATGATTTGAGGGCTGGAAGACGTCTGCTATGAAGACAGGACTGAGAGAGTTGGGGCTGTTCAGCCTGGAGAAGAGAAGGCTCCGGGCTGATCTTATGGGGAGGGGGGCCTATAGGAAAGCTGGAGAGGGACTTTTTACAAGGGCGTGTAGTGATAGGACAAGGCGCAATGGATTTAAACTGAAAGAGGGCAGATTTAGATTAGATATAAAGAAGAAATTTTTCACTCTGAGGGCAGGGAGGCACTGGAACAGATTGCCCAGAGAAGCTGTAGATGTCCCATCCCTGGAAGTGTTCAAGGCCAGGCTGGATGAGGCTTTGGGCAACCTGGTGTAGTGGAGGGTTTCCCTGCCCATGGCAGGGGGGTTGGAACTAGATGATCTTTGAGGTCCCTTCCAACTCTAACCATTCTATGATTCTATGATACATAATAATAATAAAATCTTTCTTTAGGCTCTAATGAATTTTAGAAATCACACTTTCATGTCAACATTTTGAGAATATGGTAGCTTGCATGCTTGTTTTCCCAGTTACCTAGTGAAATACTCATGCAAATCCAGAAATCTTTGCTTCCTATCAGCCAGGGAAACAAAGCCTCCAAGGATACTTCCTACATCATTAGATCACATTTGTTTCTAATTCTGATTACACTGACTCTTGAATAAAGCTTTAAAAAACTATTTTGCTTTAGCATTTTGTAATAATTTATTTTATAATGTGTTATCAAATAAAAATAAGTGCTAGTTATAGAGCTTTACAACACAATGATTATTTGATAGGAAAATTGCATTCCAGATTATCAGTAATATGTTGCAAATGGAATTATTATAAATCTAGGAAACAGCTGGCAAATAGGCATGCAATTACAAGAACATACTCTCAAATATAGTCACTTAGTACAAATGCAAAAGTAGACAGAAGAATCATGTAAGTATAGACAATCTTCAAGACAACAGCGTTTGTTAAGATATTTACATTTCAGAAGGGGATATGGTGAAATAAGGGAATGCAGGATTATTCTTTATTTGGGATAAAGGTTTGGTTTTTTTTATATCAGGGCTATAAATTAAGTCACAGAGTACTTTTATACTACTGGCTATAGCTTGCACAGACTATAGACTTCAGTATTGTAGATACCTGAATTCACTTAAAAAATGTCAACCTCAAAAGCAGCCTAGCCAGGTGAGTAGGGATGGAAAAAAGGATAGTAACAGGACTTATTTATGAATTTTATATTTCTTGTCTATTTATTTGCTAATTTGCTTGAAGAAATTGAAATAAATGCTTTCTTTCATAGGTCATAGTTAAGTGTAATTTGAGCTTTAACTATGAAGGATATTCACGGTAGGCCAAATAAGATTCTCTGACACTAAACAAAACTTGTTAGTCCATCTACGAGCTATATCAATACCCATGCTTGGTTTCCAGTAGGAAGATCCATTCCTAAACTCACAGTAACAACTTTAGGAGAGCTTAGAAATAACCGTTTCTTCCGCTTCCTTTCTTTAATAATTAGCAAAATAGTATCAGTCATTCACTAGGTCATCTTTTAAACTAGGCGTGCTCTTGAGCAGCTAAGAATTAGTCCTCGTGACAAAAAGGGTCAGGGTCATACTCCTGAAAGGGACTAAGAGCAACAGTCAAGATTCAGCCTCTTCTAAATATTTTTTTAGATTGATGGAGGTACTTCATCTAGTCTTAAGACCCCAGACTTGCCTCAACAGGACTCAAATGTCCATCAGTTGTACAACTAAATTTCAAGATCCAACATCTCCTGTTGATCATGCAGTTAGGTGCATGTTCTGTTGTGCACGGTGTGAACAAAAGGCAAGTGCCCTGCCATGCGATGCAAGCAGCTTCCCACATGGCTTGGTGGCCATGCATGCTCCCATAATCCAACCAAACTGATGCCAGGTTGTGTGAACGGCAAAAAATTCAGGTCCTCACAAAACAGGATAGCAGGGAGTGAGGTGGGTTCCCAGAACTTCTGTCCAGGCCTGAGGGCTCTTTGGGAAAAAGGTTATGAATAAACAAGGAGCGAACAGAACCTCACCCATGGAAAACAGTTTGACATCATAATCCAGACAGTTCTCAACCATGGTATACTAATCACCTACAAAACCTGAGAAGGTGACACATAAAACAGTGGAAGGAAAAAAAAACAAGACCAAAACAAATAAACAGGAAAACCTCACAAAAAAACGAACACATGGCTGCTTGTAAATAAGGAACTGAAATGAGGAAGGTAATGTCTTTCATTAAATCAACCCATACGCTGAAAAAAAAAAGGTAAGTTTCCAGTCACACTGAGACTTCTTCAGATCTGAACAATGTTTGTGTGTCTAAAAGCTTTTCCATTGTCTCTCAGTGTAAGTAGCTAGTTTCATGAAAGATATTCCTTCTACCTACAACTCTGGCTACTTTAGGCTATATATCTTTGCTATTTTTTCAAAATAAAAAACTTCTTGACTTTCAGCTCATTGTGAAGCTTCTTTCTCCATCTCTCTCACCTCAAAAAGGACAAGAAAGCACATGTAGAAAGGAAATTAAGATCATGTATCTTTTTTCCCTTGAAATCCATTTAGGAGATTTGAAAGCGGAAGTTGGTGATTATGGCATAAAGCAGATTCAGACAGGGAATCTGCTGTGCAATGAAATTCAGCTTGCTCCACAACTTTTCAAGCTACTACTCTTGACAATTCACAGAGCTGTAATAGCACAGGAGTTCTCTACATCAAGCCATTGTCCTAGAAGCTAAAAAGGAAGACAGGATGATGTTCTGTGTCTTGTTAAAATATACACTAGAAATTACCTAACAAGCAGTTTCAAAACCACTTTTATCAGCTATAAAATGGCACGGCCACTTACAGAAGCAGTTCATCTCTTCCCACGCAGCCTCCCAGATCAGCTCTCTGAGAAACCTTACAGTGGCCTGTGCAAAAAAAAAAAAATTCCAGGTAGCACAGATGCAGAGAATAGTGTCTGGGAGTGCGGGAAGGCAAGGCTTGGCCCCCTTCCGGGACTAGCAGTGCTGGTGCCAGGCTATGCAAATTCAAAGTATAAAAAAAATAAATGCCTTTAGCTTGTGATTTTACTGCTACTGAAGAGTGGTAATAGGAGCTATTCAACTACAATAAGCAGAGCACGAATACATACATCCTGATTTGCACCAAGCAACAGAGATTAGACTCAGGTCAAGGAATCTTCTTCATGGAGAACTTCATGTACCAGTTAGCAAGCACCGACAGAGAAATAGAAGAAAATGTAAAAAGAAAGACTGAATCTAGAAATTGGTAAAATGGAATCAACAAACTGCTAATTTCACAAGTGACAGAAAAAAGCACTACACAAGGTAATTGTTTGATTGTCTGTTTCAAGACCACTGGAAACAATGGAAGACTATCAAATTCTGTTCACTGAGTTTGGGTCAGGTTTTAGGATTTCCACTCAGATACAAAACCTTCTGCGTTTCTCAAAAAATTAGCAAAATGAGGCATGACGAGATTAAATTATTTGTGCAGGATTACAGGAAAAATCTGCTGCGGAAAATGAAACAAACAAGCATGGATCTCTAGATTCATTCTACATGTTAACCACTGAGCCCTGCTCTCACTAATTGCCTGTCACCAACCATTTACTTTCAACAGTGCTTTGTACCTTCACAAAAATACCGATTCCAGGTAGGACCTACAGTTTCATTCACGTAACAGTCACTGATCTTTACAGGAAATCCCTGGTAATAATACTTTGACAAGCAGTGTTGCTGAACCAAAAGATCCTGCTACAGCCACCATTTTTTCATAGAATCATACAATTATCTGGGTTGGATGGGACCTTTCAAGTTCATCTAGTTCCAACTCCCCTGCCATGGGCAGGGATATGTTTCACTAGATCAGGTTGCTCAAAGCTCTGTCCAACCTGACCTTGAACACTTCGAGGGATGGAGCATCCACAACTTCTCTGGGAAACCTGTTCCAGTGCCTCATCACCCTCAGAGTGAAGAATTTCCTCCTTATATCTAATCTAAATCTACCCTCTTTCAGTTTAAATCCATTGAGTCTTGCCCTGTCACAGCACGCTTCGGGTAAAAGTCTGTTTCCATCTTTCTTAAAAGCTCCCTTTATATATTGAAAGGCTGCAATAAAGTCTTCCCAGAGCCTTCTCCAGGATGAACAAATCCAACTCAGCCATTCTTCACAGGAGAGGTGTTCCAACCCTCTGATCATTTTTGTGGCCCTCCTCTGGACCCGCTCTAACAAGTCCATATCTTTCTTGTGCTGGGGACTCCAGAACTGGATGCAGTATTGCTGGCAGGGTATAGTAAGCTTTTCCCACAGAGCTTCTATTTTAAACTGTAAACCAGCCCCAGTGAAAACAAAGGATGGCCGTATACCTCCTGGCTACTTCACAGTCTGGCACCTTCAGCAAAGCTCCTCTGTGCAATTCTGCTGTCACACTGAGAAGTGGTTGCAAAGACAAGCCTTGTGTGCAACAAGGCTGTTGTCTTAGCTCGGTATTACTGATTTCAAGGAAGTCATGTTCATGCTCATCCAGCTGGATGATATGATACGTTATCAGAGAAACTGCCCCCACCCCTCTCCCTAAGAGATTTCAGCATGCATGCATAGACACTTACCTGATGAGAGAGGAGATCTGAGGCATCTGGAAAGACGGGAGTGTCACGCCAGGAGTCAGTTGTATTTACTGGGGGATTCGCAGTGCAGTGATGAGAGACATGAGCACTGGCCACAATCTGCCCCTGAAGTGCAGCTCCAATCAAGGTTCCAAGCACTTCCATGGTCATTCCTAAAGAAGGAAGCACAAATGGGCACTGAGGATGAGAACTCGACTCCTTCACCATCTGCAAGCTTGCTCATTTGTCTCCCTGAAGAGAAACCTCATCAAACCATTTTCTTTTACAGGGAATAAGCAGAAAAAGCAATGCCAAGAACAGCAGAACTGGAAGGTCAGTAATAGAACAGTCTCAAGGTAAGAAAGTTTTGTTATTTATTTTCTGATTAGCTTTTAGAAGACTTCGTGGAAAAGCCTCTTTTATACAAGCTGCATGATGGATATGGCTGAGATTAAGAGCCACAAGGGGATAACATAGAAACTTGTCATCTCAAGGACCAGAGCGGAACTACAGTTTAAATGTTGAATGCCATTTTTCCAATGCAGGACTAGGAGCCGTAACATCAGACTTCTCATCTCAAACTTGACAGTGAAGCATTTTTCAAGCCACTTATCTGATCAGACCTCTAGGTTCTCTAACCGTAAAATAAAATTATACCTACCTCAGGCTTATGTTGGAAACAATACAGCTGCAAAGCTCTTGGAAACAGCAGATACCATTCTTAACTGTCTAAGATCACAGTCAGGCAGGACTAGCTACCTCAGCCTTAGAGAATGATTCAGATCATTAACACTCCAAGTACCATCAGAACAAGGAATCACCTAAAAAAAACAACCAAAGTCTCCACTTGGGAAAACAAAGATCTAACCATGGACATCCAGCTCATGCTTCCTGTTCTCAAAATCAGTCATCAAGGCAGCTAGTTGTTACAGCTCTGTTGCAGGCGTGGTGAGTAAACTGTGTCCTAGACTCTTCTCACTCTGAGGAATTTCAAGCCTACTACTGCTGTTTCCATGCAATATGGCCATACCCAGCATCCTCATGGCAGGGAGATAAACTTAATTGCTGTTGTAGCTCCAGAAACTATTTACACATTTCGCATAAAGATCTATAAGGTTGGATACATGAACAGAATAGGAGCAGGGACCAAGACTCCATGTTTATGAGGGAATGCTCTTCTCATCGACCTCAACATCAGGTCTTCTTTCTACCTATGCTCTTTCAGTTGCCCCAGGAGTCCTATGTTCCTTTCTCAGAAGCACCATAGAGGATTTTGAAGGGCCAGTTCCAGAGTGGGTTGTGTCCTCTTGGTTATCTTACTCTCCTGGGAAGTGCTAAGCATTTCAAAAGCTTTTAGGTTCAGGTTTATTGAAGTTTATTCAAATTCCTTGCTCTATAACAGTCTTCCTAGGTGAACTTGGACACAGGCCTTTTTGTGTATTCCTGTAAAGAAATAAAAGTACTTCTACACCTAAAGGGAGGGCAATGCACACAGACTGCGAGGTGTTCAGACAGAGCAATAATGAGGGCTTTATGTAGCTATGGAAGATCAAGTAAGGAAAAGGAAAGAGAGGCTCCCTAGGAGACTTGGATCATTTAAACCATTGCTACTATGTTCCCAAACAGAGAATGCTTCTAAATGGAAAATTTGAGGCTCCACGTAACATTAATTTAAACCACTGGGGGTTTAAAAAAAAAAAAAATTTCTTCCCCAAACTTCACATCCAATCTTACTAATAATGTTACAGTTCAGTCCATACACACGAAAATGCTGATGGATAGTGGAAATCATAGAATCATAGAATGGTTACGGTTGGAAGGGACCTCAAAGATCAACTAGTTTCAACCTCCCTGCCATGGGCAGGGAAATCCTCCACTACACCAGGTTGCCCAAAGCCTCATCCAACCTGGCCTTGAACACTTCATCCCATTGTACTCTACTGAAGAGAACCCTGAAGAGGCTGAAGTCTGCTCTCCTGAAATCCAGGGTAGTGAGCTTGCTGTGCACCCTCTTTGCTTCCCTAAGAATCTTGAATTCCACCATTTCATGATCACTGCAGCCAAGGCTGTCCTTGAGTGTCACGTTCCTGCACCAGCCCTTCTTTGTTGGTGAGAACAAGGTCCAGCAAAGCACCTCTCCTCATTGGTTCCTCTACCACTTGGAGAAGGAAGTTATCATCCATGCATTCCAGGACCCTTTTGGATTGCCTATGCCCTGCTGTGTTGTCCTTCCAACAGATATTGGGGTGGCTGAAGTCCCCCAGGAGGACCAGGGCTCGTGAACATGAGGCAGCTCCTATCTGTCTGTAGAGAGCCTCATCCACCCGGTCCTCCTGGTCAGGTGGTCTGTAGCAGACCCCTACTACTATGTCTCCTATCCCTGCTCTCCCTTTAATCCTAACCCATAAGCTCTCAGTTGGGACCTCATCCGTCCCCAGGTGCAGCTCCATGCACTCCAGCTGGTCTTTGACATAGAGGGCAACCCCTCCTCCTCTTCTCCCCTGCCTATCCTTCCTAAAGAGCCTGTACCCTTCTATTCTGACACTCCAGTCATAGGATTCATCCCACCATGTCTCTGTGATGCCAATAAAATCATATTCCAACAGGCGCGCACACACTTCTAACTCCTCTTGCTTATTCCCCATGCTGCGTGCATTGGCATAAAGGCATTTAAGTTGGGCAGCAGATGAACCTGACTTCCTGGCTGGAGCAGCTGGAATTCCTTTCCTCTGTTCTGCAGGTACTTAAATCCTACCCTCAACCTGATCTGAAGTGCTTGGACACCAACTAGTCTCAGATGGGCCTTGCAGAGCTTCTGAACTGTCGACTACTGAGTGCACAGGCAACGTACCTGAGTCACACCTCTCACTCAAAACACCACCTACACATTTATAACCTTTATCTAGGTCTCTACATCTGCATTTCACCAAGTACTTGCATAGAATTAAACTTAGAAGCATCATTACAGGCAACAGAAATACAATCACTGTGAAACCTCATTTTCTAAATAGCACCAAGAGCTGAGAAACAGGCATATTTCAAAGTTCTTGTGTGCTCATTTATAATATATTACTTTCCACCTTAGCCGAGAAGGCTGATCTTTCAGAAAGCAGATTGTCCTCAAAGTAAGTTATATTTTGCCCAGAATTTAAGTAATATTTATGTTAAATCAACTTTGGAATCCAGTATTTCTACCATGCATTTACAGTAAGGAGCAGGACAAAATTTATAATAAGCAGTTCTGCTTGTCTCCAGTAGAGGGTAATGGATCCTCTGATCACAACATTTTTGTAAAAGCACACTTCATATTACACAGCTGTTTTTCTTTAAATAGTTGAAGAAATGCCTGAACAACTGACTGCATCCAAGAAGGTCTAGCAACAAAAAGAATTCTCTATGAAACCTGAAGAGAGGCAAAAGCGTTTAAGTAAACCACTTGTTAAAAAAAAAAAAAAAAAAAAGAGGAAAAAAAGAGATTCTCACATACTTACAGCCATCATAAAAAAACCTGGCTCCAAATAAATATAATTTCAAAATATACAAAATACCGACATTTGAAAAGTCAAAATTAGGTTCATTCCACCACTCCACAAGTTGGCTTAGGAGAACTGCTGTACACTCAAAAGTTAAACCCTTTCTGAACAATAAAATGACACTATAAATGTATAACACCTCTCGGCCATGGAGTTCAACAGCTTTTATGAGCACAAATGTCACATGCCTATGAAGCATTGCGTGGGACTAGCAGATAGGAAAGCACATTTATTTGGATTGCAGCCTCTGAAGACATAAAACCAGACAATAGAACACCCTAGGTACATGGATTTAGTTAGAATTTAGGCCAGATGACTCAGAACACAGTCAGGGCCAAAGAATATAACATAATTGGAATCTCCCGCTGTTTTGTCCTGTCCTATGACTGCTAGCCCACACTTCCTCTTGAGATAGTTGATGATAATGCAAACTACAACTGTTGCATGCGGCCAGAAAGGGATTGGGTTGCTCAGGGGATATTGTATCTAGGATTTCTGGTATGATTTTTTTAGCACTTCTGGCCATTTCATTGTGCCTCTCTGGTCTAGTTTTCAACATACTCTGGAAAGTACGCTGAGGGTTAGAAGAACTAATGGAAGAGAAAAGGGGTCTTGCCAGAAAGAGAAAACAGATGCAAAAAAAAAAAAAATACAAGTTATTCTAAAGCAACATTGAAGGACAAGTTAAGACACAGAAAAATCTTTCATGTGATATTTGACTCCTCTCTCTTTACCTTGCTTAATGCCATGAGAGACAGTAGTAACATAGTAAAGAAGGTGTAAGAAGAGAGCTGAAGAGAGTAGGAAGGGAAGAAACTGTTCTTACATTCAATTTATAATCTATACAGGAAATCTTGAAAATATTTCCATTGTGCTTTTTTGGTCTGATTGATTTGCTTTAAAGTAAAAACTTTTTCCAGTTCTGACTGTTAAAGAGCCAGAAGTATGTTCTGGAAGCCCTCATTCTTTTAACTAATGCAGTCAGAGTGCTAGTTATACTACAGCAAGGTTTGTCCTTAAACTACCTGATACTTGCTAGAATTAAACAAACACAGATGAAATAAAAATAGATATTTCGGTTGGTGTGAATATGCACACAAAATTACTCTCCTTTTTTGGTGAGGTTAGCTGTCTTGGTTCTATGAGTTCTAGAGGTTTTTCCAGAGAAAACATCTTGGAGATTTGAATTTATAACACGGAATACATAAACCTAAGGAAATCCAAACTAAAAAAAAAAACCAAACACACCAAAACACTATTTAAAATTACTTCCAGGCTTTCTTGAATTTAATGTTAATGAAGATCAGCACTTTGTTTTTTCCCCTACAAACCACCTTTAAATGAAATCATTATTCCCTGCCCTGGCTTGGGTAAGAGTGATTTTTATTGTTTCGTCTGGCTAGCAATAAACCAAAAAGAGTTTAAAGCTAATCAGACAGTTCAAGATGGTCAAACGTTAATGTCTTCTATTTAGCTAGAAAAATGGAAGCATTTGCAAGAAAAAAAATATTTTTCATTGGATATTAAAAATCTCATATAAAAGTCCAGCTTAGGGACACAAACCATTAGGAACTTCCTACAGAGAATGATTTTAAATAACACTCAGCTCTAATCCACGTGAGAAAGCCCAGATCACACTCACGGTATGCTGTTGCAGAATCTCTCTCCTTCTGGTCTGTGCTGAGAAACATGGTGAGGGCGGAATATGGTACTTGGAATAACTATGCAAAGAAAGAACATCACTTAGGAAATGTCAGGGTAAATGCTGTATTCCTTTGATATCCAGGAAAATGGTTTAATGCGACCTTGGAATTCACTTATTTAGAACATCAAATTTTTTAGCACAAAGACTTGCCTTTTCTTTCTGATTTGTAAAGTATATGAGAGGAAAAAAAATATCTTTCATAACACAAGTAATAAATTACAAGAGACTTCACCTTAATGCTATGCTCCTTCATCTTCCTTGGGAAAACGTCCTTCATAGCTAGGCCATAAAGCATCTAGTTTTCTTCGCACTAGGAGACTATCATGTTCTGAGCTTGAGCTAACTAACAGCCATAATGAAGACAATACCATTTTCCACTTCATTGAAGCCAGAAGACTGTATAAATCCCCAAAATATTTCAAATATCTGTCTCACTATGTAATTCCAGAAGATAATTGCGAAAACTACTTTGTCTTCAGCACCCTTTTGCCACATACTCCTTAGCTTGAGTTAAGAATAGGTAGGAACACCCAATTGCTATGTCCATGCAGTGACAACAAGGTAGATCACAGAATCACAGAATGTTAGAGATTGGAAGGGACCTCAAAGGATCATCTAGTCCAATCCTCCTCCAATAGCAGGACCACCTAGATGAAGAGTATTCCTTGTTTGTTCTTACAGCACTGTAGCCAGCATGCAATTGATACCTTGCTGTAAAATCTTGGAAAAAATGCACTGGCAATATTTATTGCAATGCTGGGTTAAATGAGTCCCACTTTTACTGCAGCAGAGGCCTTATTTCCAGTAGTACTTCATTGAATATAACCACTGAACATTAAAGGTTTGACTTTTTGGATGGCAATGATATGAGTGGGATCCTATCCTCATAGTGTTGAACTAAAATAAAAATCACTTCTAAAATCTTGGAACAACATACAGGCCAAACTCTCGGACCATTCTGAAGTGGAAGTGAGACATGAACCTGCTAGAACAATCAGGTTCTGTAGCCAGGCAAATGAAGTCTTGCAATCCACATCCTACTCTGTTCATACAAAATGCATTTCTTTTCACCTCCATCAAACATGGCAAGTGTATATGTTTTCAAAGCTCCGCCACAGAAAATCTGTGTTTTTCCTTCGAAAGAGAGAGGGAAGAAAATTATTTTAAGCCATTATGGATGACTTCTGGACCATCTTTCTCCAGAGGAAACAGAGGACCTAGGGAAACATTCCAGCTTAACACAGGAATACAGAATTCCCAAGTCCAACAGACCTGTAAACAGGAGAAAAGCCAAAGTCGAACAAGAAATACAAACATTTTAAATGTCTGGGGACCACTTTTTCAAAATGTGATCCCGTGAAATCAGCCACAATATATCCTGCCAAATTGCAATGCAGTTGTCTCACTTCCAGTCCTAATCTGCTGTGTGACACTGCTTTGCACGGAAGATACCTTTTTTCACCTTGATACTGGCTACAAGGCAAAATGGGGTGATGCAACCCCTGCATGCACAGTATGGAACATGTCAGAGAAGTTCTTTGGGATCCACTGAAATGATGGCTTCTGCACAAATACATTTAGAATCATAGAATGCTTAGGGTTGGAAGGGACCTCAAAGATCATCTAGTTCCAACCCCCCTGCCATGGGCAGGGAAACCCTCCACTACACCAGGTTGCTCAAAGCCTCATCCAACCTGGCCTTGAACACTCCCAGGGATGGGGCAGCCAGAGCTTCTCTGGGCAACCTGTTCCAGTGACTCACCACCCTCAGAGTGAAAAATTTCTTCCTTATATCTAAGCTAAATCTGCCCTCTTTCAGTTTAAAGCCATTACGCCTTGCCCTGTCACTACACGCCCTTGTAAAAAGCCCCTCTCCATCTTTCCTGTAGGTCCCCTTTAAGTACTGGAAGGCTGCAACAAGATCACCCCAGAGACTTTTCTTCTCCAGTCCAAATAGCCCAAAATCTCTCAGCCCGTCTTCATAGCAGAGGTGCTCCAGCCTTCGGATCATCTTTGTGGCCCTCCTCTGGACCCTCTCCAGCAGCTTCATGTCCTTCTTGTGTTGGGGACTGCAAGTTCTGGGCTGTATTAAAATATTTATGTGCTGAAACGCTTCTATCTAGGCATAAATATCATGATGACTACTATCAGTACTGTTTCAGCTCTGGTACCCTGACTTTTCATTGCCTTATAGCTTGAGTCAAAACACCCAAAACTAGAGCCACAAACCTACTTGGTCTCCTAATCTGCTCCTGAAAACAGAAGTTATGAGAAGTTAGATGTCTAACTGGAACTAGGAATCTAAATGTCTCTGTGGATCTATACAAGAATGAGTTGAGTATCTAGGGCACTGCCAATGAAAGTGATGGAGGTAGTATGCCTGAATTTGCAGGTCATTTGCCAGAAAAAGCACTGGCAGAAACCATCAACCAGCAGAGAGTTTGATAAAAGGACACCTGCCTATCCCTTAAACTGAAAAGAAGTTGAAACCAAATGTAAAGTTTTGTTAAATCTCAGTTTGCCGAATCTGAATGCATTAACATAGGTTGAAAACAAGAAAGTTACTGCTGAGAACATCATGACCTGTAATGTACTTACTGTGGTCAGTGCTTGGAAAAGGCAGTAGAAAGTAAGGTACCATGCAACTCTGCCCGACACAAAAGGAGGTAGGTACCACATAAAAAAATAAGACACTACAGTGAAGGGCGTACATGCCAGCATCCTGCAAAGAAGATTAACACATGTCAACAATCTCCACATAACGATAACAAAGTACATTAAATTGTCCTCCTAATAATCAATATAATGCAACTTATTTTATGAGCAGTTTTTCTAACTACTATAATGTCATTTTAAATATTAAATGTTAGCATGCATTAAATGTACAAATTAATATAAAACATATACAAGCATTTCCATAAAATGGAAAAAAAATAGCAAATCTGACGAAAAAGAGCTATACTTAATATCCCACTCAGACACAATTTTCTTGCACACGCACTGTAGCAGCATACCTATATTGCCATTCCTTAGTACGTCTCAGACTACATCTTTATTAGAAAGAGCCACTGAAAACTAAACCCTGTGTCACATGTCTTCACATACCTCAGCGATTTTTACATGAGCCTACTTATTACCGAGGATTCTCTCTTCCAAACTGAATGCTTTCCATTTTCCTCTCAACTTAGCCTCTGCACTTCCCTAAAGTACCAATGAAAACACGTTGATACACTTAAAAATGCTGAAAACAGCATAAAAGATAATGGACAGACCACTACAAAAGTTCCTACAGTCTGTATCTACTTGGGTATATGATAATTTGCTCCATTTAACTCAACAGCAGAACTTCTAATCACTTCAAACACAACAGGATCAACTTCTGGTGAGGAAGTTGGCTTAAAAAAAAAAAAAAAAAGAACCACAGAAACTTAAATTCCAGACATTGCCATTAACCAGCAATTAATTACATTAGTCTAAAAACTATTCCAGGCAAACAACAATTGTCAAACTCTGTGACAGGAGGAAGTGGTCAGATGCTATTATTACCCAAAAGTCTGAGCTGCAGCAGCATCAGGGCTCTCCCGTATTCTTGTATGTCAGACATTAAACAATGTAATTAGATGACCAAGATCCCAACAAAAAATATCCAAACACGTAAAAGAGAAAACAGATTAATCCCTTCACAACAGCACTACTGGCATTGGGGGTCAGCTGATTATTTTGCAATCGTGAACTGAAAACCTGGAATACAAAAGAGTAATGTGGGTAAATAGTTTAGTAAAACAATGGCTTTCCCACACTGCTCTTTGGTATGGACAGCATCACTGGGAACTGAACATTTACAAGGAAAGTGCCAGGTTCTGGTATTCTCTGTCCCTCCAGTCCCCAGGCCACAGTTCATCCACAGCTGGTCAGCAATGGAAAACACAAATAAGGATAAAATCCTACCATATCTCAGGGAATCTGCCTTCCTCTCCAAAAGTCTGAGCTCTTCCAGACTGGTGTCCAGACAGAGTCAACACAGTAAAATATTTTCATAGTCAATTTTTCATGCAACTTTTCAGCAATAACTCCTTAGTGTTCTTCTCCTCTTCCATCCTCTTTTCACATTTTCCTTTCCTCATTAATGTCAGTGAGTTTTCAGAGCCTTGCTGAAGTTGCTGAATATCTGATTGTCTACTGTTATCTCCTTTGACAAAGTATTTGACCAGGTGTGTGTATTTCAAGTCAATGTCTGCTTATGCCTTTTAAACACATGACATAAAAGAGATCAACAGTGACAGACGACTTCTTAGTATATTGAGCCTAGTATTAAGCTGTATTTAAATGTTCACCTTCTTTACTAATGTCCCTGCTTTGCTGGGAAACTTTTCTGACTGAGTCAATTCCATTGTTTCACTCTAGATACTTAAGAAGTCAGAAGGATTTCAAAATACTAAAGTATTTTTAAGCTAATGGAAGACCTATTTTTCGCTTTGTATAAATACGGTGGTCCAACCTCCAAAGTGTAGGAACAGAACACCCATGAAAAAATTACCATTACCAAAAAAACCCAGACAAAATCCTTCTGGAAAGAAAGCAGCTGTTTGATGAACATATATTAAAGGCCGGGTTAGATAAGCACTTTTCCTGTAAGAAGTGCAAGTTGTACAGTAGGTGGTTTACAGTGCAAAGTTCACGCTCGTGCTAGGATGGAAGTTATTCTAACATCAATTTAACACTAACACTAAACACATGTATTTGCAGCATTTTCAGAGAACTGAAAAAAACAAGGTATCAGAATACATCTAATGGCATTTGTATAAAAATTACATCACTGTCTTTTGAATAACTTTGTTACTTGGTTAGTTCAGTGCTCATTAAAAAGCACTCCATTTATATGGCCACAAACCAAATCCTGAAAAAAGAAACAGCAGCTACCTCCTCTTTCCCATG